CGCAGCTTGAGGCTGCAGCACAAATTTCCAGTCCCTGCTTTGCTGAGCTGAGCAGAGTGGAGCAAAGCGGCAGAGAATTCCCCATGCCTCCACAGAGGCCCCATGCTGTCTCCCCTTCTTCCCATTACTTGCCCCATAGATCAGTTGATACTGTGCGCCCCCACCACCATCCCTAGAAGCTGCCCTCCATTGATGCGCCTTCAGTTTTCCCGCTGCTACTCGGCAAAACCTAGTCAGTATACATGATTGTGCCAGCTTCACAATTTTGACAGAGAGTATTTCATTGCATATAAACCAGAAATCCCTTTGCGGTTCTGCTTCCTCCTGTTCCCCCTCCTCCTGCTGCTCCATTCACCCTCATCTCACATTCCCCCCACCTTCCGCCCCTGGGCTGTTGGAGTAAAGAAAGACTCCTCCAAGCAGCACAATGGCTGGCGCTCCAAGAAAGCTGGGCTCATCCGCGCGCGGGCCGCACACAGACTCCACGGCCCTTTTGGCCACACAAGACCGGGACACCAGAGTGGGAGGGGGCTTAGGGCTGTCGAGCGGCGAGGAGGGAAGAGATAGGCAAGAGAGAAGAGCTGTGATAATACCCTCCAGCCCAGGCTCTGTCCAGCGTTGCGCCCCGAGCTCTAGAGGCCCTGAGCCCACAGCAGGCGGCGCGCCCCCCACCACACTCGTCTTTTCTCCGACCTGTTCTGTGGTCCAACAATCGCTCCCCAGCTTCGGCGGCAGATGCCAGGGTGCTGACCCTGCAGGAATGCTCCGTCCTGGGGAAGGCCTGGCACCCCAGGGAGAGCACGGCGGAGGGTGGGGCGGGTTCTTAGGGGCAGAGAGACTCTGGGGCGTTGAAGGTGACAGACCAGATAACGGTCCTAGGAAGAGGCACCGACCCACTGCTTCGGCACCACCAGGCAGCGTCCTCTGCCTCCCCGGCCCCAGACCGCGTGCTCGGGCACACAGACACACACACAGACACACAGTTACATACACACACACACATGTACACTCACGTGCGCGCACACATACACATATACATTCTCTCTCTCTCTCTCTCTCTCTCTCTCTCTCTCTCTCTCTCTCACACACACACACACACACACACACACACACACACACACACACCCAGGCCTGGCTGGGGGCCCAGGCTCTGATGGTGCTTGCAGTGTCCATCGTCCCACGTCCGCGGCCCGGGGCTGCGTCCCCTCTAAGCTCCCACGAAGGGCCGGGCAGAGAGCGCCGGCCTACTGGCTCTTCCTTTCCGCTTACAGGATGGGACGGGTCAGGGGTCCCGCCGGGAAGCCCAGGTCGCGGGGCCTCTTCACCACCCCGTCCAACCCCCACCCACTGCCGTGGGTTGGTCCGGACCAAGGTCGCCCCCCGCGACTGCACCTGTGCTGGTCCTGGCGGAGGGAGGCGGGTCCCGGGGCTCAGCGGGACACCTCCATCCACAGAACTGCCGGAGCGCAGCGCAGGGCAGCGGCCGGGCAGCGGCGGCCGGGCAGCGGCGACGGCTGCAGCGAACTCCCCTCCACCCTCCCTCCTCCTCCTCCCCGTGCTCGTACCCGGGCTCCGGGGGCGCGCCAGCGCTCGGGCACCCGCCCACTGGCACGCGCGGGAACCATGCGTCATCTCCTCGTTAACATTCATAGCCTTCCTTGGAGCAGGTGGCTAGCTGCCTTTATTAATATTTATGAATTACTGCTCCCCTTCTTTAATATAGGAGTTTCTGGTTCCCGCATGAACATGTAGAAGCTCCAAAATGTGCGCTTGTAGTAACTACCGGTATGGAAACCTCACTGACCCTGACGCTGTAGATTTTTCATAAAAACTGGGCGGTGGCTGAATGGATGAGTAGACAGATGCCCACAGACACAGTCCAAGACCCTCTGGACTTTCTGGGCATCCCATTCTAGTCTGCTGGGGCTGAGNCCAAACCCCTCCCCAATTTAAGTCTGAATTCCTTAAGGGCATAGACATCTCTGAATATCCTCCACAGCTCCTCGGAGCACACACTGCCCTGTGGCTAGGCAATCAATCAATGTGTACTCAATTAAAAATGATCTCACCCCATACAGTTTCTCATTTTCAATTTCGGACAGTACAAGCATCATTATCTATCATACCCTTCTCTACACACAAAACTTCCTTTCTTGTAACACAGAAAGGCAACCCAACTTTTCTCTCCTGTCTATGTGATTACTGATCCAGTTAGATGCTTAAATAGGTACCACTACCTGAGGAGACTCAAACAGAGAGCAAAAACCCTGGGTTTGGCTCTAGGAGTGCCATTCTCCATCTCACCTACAAAGCTAAAACTCCACATAAGAGAGGCAAAGGGTGTGCCCGCTGAGGACGGACAGCTCTTCCTGGGATGTTACTGGGGTTAAGGCAGTTAGCATCACATCACATCAAAACATATTCTGAGTATTTACAGTTTACAAAGGCAAAATGATAGGACCTTACAGTACAAAAGGCTATAAAAGCAGTACGATATTTTGGAAAGAACACAGGCTCAACAGACCTGCCAATGTCTGGCTTAATGACAAACATCATGGGTCTCAATTACCTCATTTGTTAAAATGAAGGTGTTGATATCGAGCTAATAACTTTGAAAGTTAGCTTTAATAACATATTAATAATTTAATTATAATGTATCTTAATAATATATTGTATTTAATCTGATATGTATCCAAGATATTAACATTTCAAAATGTAATCTATATTTTAAAATATTAATGAGACATTTTACATTCTTTTTTCATACTAAGTCTTTGAAAGCCAGGGTGTGTTTTACATTCATAGTACATCTCCATTTGGACAAGCCACCGTTCCAGTGCCCGATATCCACATGTGACTAGTGGCTACCATATTGGACAACACAGCTATATAACAATGCACAACTAATTGTCAGTCAGGGATTCTTTACCTAACATCTACAGATGCCAAGGGTTCTTTGACTATAACTATATTTTATTTGATGCATTCAAAAACAAATTTAGAGAAGGATCCCATAGGTTTCTCTACATTGCCAAAGGGGCCCATA